GATCAGATGGTATGATCCAAACGTGCAGGGAATAGGAATACAAGAGAGTAATGCGGGGGAATTCCGACACAACCATATATGGGCAAGGAAGTCATTCTCTCTCTATCTCACCTCTCCAAGCTCACTCTGAAGTGGGATGCACACGCAGTGCTGATGTTCACGGTGAACTCGCACAGGCACACATACACCCACGCACGTACACAGACGGGCTCATCTGAAATGGAAATTGGTAAGATGAGCACCAGGGCGGCTTGTAGGAGTGAGACAGCTGTAACAAAATGTCATGCAGCATCCGCAGTGGACACGGAAAGATCTTTGTCCATGTGGAAAGCTGGAGGGAAAATATTACATATCAGGGCCGCATACTCTTGCTGTTAGTATCGTAATGTATTAAAATGGGGAAACTGACCTCGATTCAGTGTTGTCTTGATGCTAGGATTATGTGTGTGTGTGGAGCCACCGAGCCACAGAGAGTCTGATAGATTTAGGAAGTAAATTGTTCAATTCCAATCCTTCAAAGTCATGATGAAATGGACGTAACACCAGATCTTTTGTTCAGTATTGTGAGTGTGACATACATTCGAAAAAAATCTAAAAAGACAATCTAGGTTCTTTACGTCTATTGTTGATTGGAAGGAGAATCGGCTGAATGCGAGCTTGCAGCTGATAGTAATACTCAGTCACCAGAGAGAAGTCTGTTGTTTCAACGGAAGATCAAGTTGTGACATTATTATTAGAATTATAAGGTAAAAAAAGAAAAGGAATATGATTTTAGTTACAACAAAGTCATGAACATGCTTTTTATAAATACATACACTATTAGAAGAAATGGTCCTATTTAGAACCAGAAATGGTTCCATCCCCCGCTTCATATATGGAGCTCCAAAATGGTTCTATATAGAACCATTTTTTTTGGTAAAAGGTTCTATTGGTCAAGTATGGAACCCCAGGGTTCTATATAGAACCCAGAGGAACCCCTTTTTTTAAGAGTGTATAGAACCTTTTATGGGTTCCAAATACGTAGCGCTAATAGAACCTTTTAAGGTTCTATATAGAACCTTTTCTTCTAAGAGTGTAGGGTGAATTGGGAGATGGGTAAGATAGATATAGATGCAAGATAGATATAGATAGATAGATAGATAGATAGATAGATAGATAGATAGATAGATAGATAGATAGATAGATAGATAGATATGGGTAGAGTGTGTGGATAGATATAGAACAATGTGTATACAGTATATAATGAATCATTTTGCATGATAACAAAGGTTTATGTGGTTTAAATATGTTGGTGTGTGTGTGAATTGCCTATTGTTTTTACATCTCTTAGAAAAAGTGTCTGTGTTTGTGACAAAGCTGAAATGTTTTGTTTACTAGTAATCTTACAATATATAAATTATAGTGTTTGAGGGAAAATGTCTCCAGTTAGAAAAATGCAAGCCTGGCTCACCTTGAGCTTAGTTATTTAGTGAGTTAATCTTCCCTGCCCACGTTTAGTTCGTTGTTCTCGCTTGCAGAATTGCATAAAGTTGCAAATTTGTCACTTTGGAATTATATAGTGGCCCCGATAGTTTTAAGCCACATTTAAAATTGTATGAATGTCATGCACACTTGCATTTATACAGTGTGACGTAAGTGTACAAATACTTTTTAAGGCCAACTGTGTATCATAAATGTAAATGAAATAAATAAATGTTTAGTTTATTTACAGCACAGAATAATATAATTAATGGACAGTGTAATGCAATGCTTTGAACAGAAGGTTAGTCGTTTAATATCAACCCCTGACATTTGGGTTCAAAAACCTATTCAGACACACTGATTAATATACATCATCATTATCTATTTCGCTACTCAACTGTCCTGAGGCCGTAGGACTCAAGAGCATTACATAACGCTGAACAGCAGGAAGCTTTTCCCAGACTGCAATAGTGGCCACACGGCTGTTTTAACTTGTGTTGATGACATAAAGATGAAAACGAGCACTTGTGCACCCACCTGACACTCAAGTTGTCAGGTGGGTAGTTATAGGACTGACACACACACACACACACACTGATATAAGAGTTGATTATATTCATCAATCTGATCCAAGCTGTCTGAGACTGCAGCAATAGTTCCACATCACAGGTTTGTGCAGGTTTATATATAGGTTAGTTGATATAAGGGGGTTTTTGTGGTTAATAAGGTGACCTTGCTTGTTCAACAAATACTAATCATGTATTACCATGACAAAGCCAGTTTGTTTGCATGTGCACAGAGAAAATCTGAGGCAGTGACTCATTCATATTCTCAAAGGGACCTTGTGCTTTAGTTGGTTTATCAAGGCATTCTCAGGGTAAAGTTAAATAAAAGTGGGAATTGATGCACTCAACATTTTTGCCACAAATGCTGTACATTTCTGCTGATATCTGTTAATGGACAGCCCGTTCTCATCCCAAGCCAAGGTGTCATCTAACTGACGCTTTAGACCATGCTTCAACATCCAACGCACATGGCACCCTTTAGCGTCAATATGAGACGCGCCCCCTAGTGTTTTAACCCTAACCCAACCCCAGACCTAAACCTACCCGTGTCATCTAACTGACGCTAAAGGTTGCCATGTGAGTGTCAGTTAGATGACGCCCAAGGATGAGAATGCGTTGCAGCGGACTGTGAAAATTGAAACTGCACTATTTTATAGAAAAGGGAAAATTATACATTCTCTTCTTAGGTGAGCATTTGTATTATATCTAGTTCTGTAATGTATACTGTAAACTATGCACACCTTCATTTCAGGGGGTGCATTAAATTCCCTTCAGTAGTTTTTGAACGGGCAGTCCAGCTGATTGAATATGCATCAAATAAAATCTTGCTCATTAGTCAAGATTTTTAATTACATCCTAATGAACATGTCTGTAATGAAGTGCTGGGAAAATCACATGGTAATCTGTGTTTAGTGTCTGGTAGAGAAACTCTTATCGGGGGTTTGGTTGCTCTCGTTCATGTTTGTTAAACCTAGATTGATTGCTGTGGGACTAATCTCAAGGAAAGAAAGTTTTCCCAGTGGTGTGTTTTTAATGATTAAATGTAGGGTGGACTGTGGACATCAGCTTGGCACTGGTTCATGTATAATACTGATTTCTTTAGGACAGAGCTTTGTGGGAAATGTTGAGGAGAGGAAAATGTAATGGCTTGGTTCACATGGAGGAGAGTGTGGTTAAATGTAATGGCTTGGTTCACAAAAGATGAGATTTTAAGGTTTGCAATCCATTCTGGATATTCTGGATATTTTTGCAATGCATTCTTCCGGACATTATACTGGTCATAAATGGGTTTTCAAAATGGGCAGAAATTAAAATGGTACACTTCACGATTGTTTACCAAAACTTGACATGCAAAAGCTTCACCCTGGTCCTTGCATGAATACCACTCGCACATTTCACATGATCATGCACTCTCATCTCTTAGGCATGTGGTGCAGTGAGATCCATCACACTATGATTGTGTAATTCCTTACTTGATGAATACATGCCAGCTGTGCTTGCTTTGCATCCAACCAGGAATTTCTCCTGTGCCTTTATTTGATCTCATCTCTTTTGTTGGTGTTTTTTCATGGGTCTGTGTTTTCTTTTTCCTTTTTAAAGACTTAATAATGAAGATTACTACCGCTGGACAGACTCTGCTGTGTGATTGCATGCAGCAGATGATGAATTACATAAGAAATAATTGTGAGTTGAGATATTGTGTTAGATAAGACGTGACAGTGAGAGAAAGACAACAAGGTTTATGAATGATTCACTTGGAGTTGATTTAGTTGCCTTGTCTCTTTCTTATTCATCTTCCTCATTGTTTAGCTGTTTGTACAAGTTTGGCATATTTGCATAGTTAGAAATGAAACATATATTTAAAAGAATATTTACGAGTTTCGCCAATCCCTGTTTAAAGAACCAAAGCATTTAGCATAGTTGGATATATTGTACTTTTACTAGTTCGATATATTAATGTTATTAATTGAGGTATTTTGTTTATTTTTAATTTTTTTAACAGTCCTCAAGACCCTTGAATCACAATTTTCTCTACAGCAAAAAAAAAAAAAAAAACATTCTGCCTTTGTCCTCATTTTCACTGGAAACCTGTTTTCATTGAAACCGGAGCATAGGGTGGCGGGGATTTAGTATATTCCCAAGAAATCAGTTTACCGTCGACCTTAATTAATCACATAAACAGCTTCACTCCAATTCTGTATAACCCAGAGTGGAGACCTTCATTTACATAGCTTCATTCTCTCTCAATAGCTGCCACAGTATTTGTGTTGTACAGTGCTTTATTGCTGGTTGTTTTTTTGTACATCCTCTGCTCTTCTTGGCTTTCCTAGATTCTGTCTCCTGGTATACTATGTTGAACCCCTTTTCTGTCTCTTTATATGTCGCCCTGCTATTTTGGAAGCTGTGATAAAGCCTTTAAAAACAGGAACAAACGGGACATTGGGGCAAACGTGCTCAGAAAAAAAATCGTCAAGTTGAGAGATTTTACTTTGAATGGAGCAGCGAAGCTCTTTTAAAAAAAAAAAAAAGTTGTAAGAAGTTTCAAAAGAAAAGGAATAGATTTTAAAGGGCAACTCTTAATGTTGCATTAGGTGAGTCAGGCTGTTGGTAGATCTCCACATATTCCCACAATTCTGTGCTCACAGCAACAAAAGAATGGCAAATCCCATCTGGCATGATGCCCTCCTTGTCCCACTAATGAGAGTGTTCTGAAGAGTGGGGGCGTGAGAGCTCTCTCTATATCCATCTTTCTTGGTATCTGAACATGCACTGCATCAACAGACAGAACTTTTATTGTAATACGGAGTTGAGACTTAGAATTAGAAGTTCACCTTGCCAATTATCTGCATCCTTAAAGATGTGACCTCCCATTCATCTTTTTGTGTTTGTCCCACTGATGTTCTTGCTAGTGGTGAGTATTTCTGTTAAACTGCTGCTGTTGTGCTGACTAAAGCTGTGCTATTTCTGTTGCAGTCCATCATGGAGCAGTTCAACCCTTGCTTGAGGAACTTTGTTGCCATGGGGAAGACTTATGAGAAGGCCCTCTCCAGTGAGTACATCAGCGGCTTGTTCATTATCACTCTTGCAGGCAATGAGCCAGCTTTTCAAGCTCTTTTTTCATTGGTCTGCTTTAATTTATGAGAAGAAATTGCTTGAAATTCATGCTTATGGGGAGCTCCGCTCCTTGACACTTCGTGGTTGCATACACTTTCACGGCTAATATAAAAACTCTTGTATAGAAATCTAGTAGAATGTTGTTTAAATGTTTGTTGAATGTTTGTTAAGAATTTATGTTTGTGGGGTTCCTTCGTACTAATGATGTCATAGAATGTTACATGTCTAAATCCATTTGCACCCTGAAACCCCCTAAACTTCCATCTGGTTCATGCATGTAGCATCTTCAGACCTGTCACATACATGTAACACACACACACACGACACTCGATGATGTGCTGACCTCTGTGTGTGTTTTCAAGATGTTGACTGGGTAATGGCAAGGACGTAGGCATTTCAGAGAAGAAATATGCACTGGGAGGAAGGGAGAGTAAAGTGGAACAGAGAGCAGGCGTAAATAGGCCAGAGAGAGCTCTGGGAGCAGACACAGTCCCGCAAAGGAAGCGAAAAGGGAACAGGGAAGATGTATATTCAGGACAAAAATGGTATGTCACTGCAAGAAGGACGAAGCATGGCAAAATGACAATTGGTAGCACAGTTATTTGGTGTTCAATGCAACACTTAAATGCCCTTTACTGCATCGCTTCTTTCACAATGCTTTATTCTGGGATTAATAATTACTAACATTGTCTCATTCATAACTTGGATCACTCTTGAAAAGCTGATTTTTATGACAAACCCTAACTAGGTGCGACACAACAAGATGACTAGCAATTTGTCAATCCATACTAAAGATGAAAATCAAGTAACCTACACTCTAAAAAATGCTGGGTTGTTTTAACCCAAATTTTGGTAAAATATGGACAAACCAAGATGTTGGGTTAAAAATTTAATTTAAACATTTAACCCAATGGCTGAGTTTGTCCATATTTTACCTAAATATGGGTTAAAACAACCCAGCATTTTTTTAGAGTGTAATCAATCACAAAACAACCAATTACAACAGTTTCCGCCGTTTGTGCACTCTCCTGCTCTCACAGCACAATTAAGCATAAAAATAACAACACAAACCTTGCATTTTCATGCTTTTTCAGTTATTTAATATAATATCTGATTCTAAGTCTCTTCAGTGTCTCCGTGTCCATGTGTGATGTTTAATATGTATGAGGAGTATTATTTCAGTCCAGGGAGATTTCAATGTGTGTGAGGATACGTGGTGCGATGCAGTAGAGAAAAAACAACAACTAGCAGACAAAATCTGCTGGCAGGTTAGAAACATTTTTGAAAGAGAAAGAGATAACTTTTAAATTACGTGTCCCTTTTGAAATGTTGATTCTGGTTAGATAACATTTTTAGGGAGATTTACAGTTTTAAACATATGCTAAACCTATATGATTTTCATGATCATCAGGTAAATAATGGTGCCACGTTGTCTGATCTCAGGGTATGATGTGTGTACAGTGTTCCTGTGTTCAGTTTAGGGGCAGAAGTTTCAGGACAAATCCCTGTAGAGTTTTAGTACTGTGCCAAAGAACTGCAGAGAACCAATAATTTCACTCATCATTCCAGAGTCCATCTAATATTTTATGAGGCAGAAAATACAAGAAAAAGACCAACACTCTAGAGGATAGACCATGACAGTGTGTGTATGTGTGCGAGAGTGTGAAGTCTGAGAGATAAAGTTAAAAATAGACCCAATAGAGTAAGATTTCTGCTCCCATCCTTGTAGATCTATGGATGTTCACAGAATACCTCATTGGGATTTGCTGGAGTTGTAAATATGCCAGGTCTTGCAGGCAGCAGAGTGGAAACACTCCACAGTACACACTAATGATGCAAATGGTGGCCACTGGGCATTAGCAAGTTTTCGGGTTGCTTGGGAGATGCAAGTAACAGATAGTAAAACTAATAGATTGTTTGGAGATAATGAAATATCTTGGTAGTACAAAAAGAAACATTAGCTGCAAATGTTCAACAGTGGCTTGCTGATCTTGGAGGCCCATTTGCATGCCGTAAAGTGGATGATTATGTTGAGATGTATTGTGCATAAGCAGCTGTTAAGTCTAAAGTATCTCCCCCTTTGCCTGTTTTTTGGAAGTGTTGAAGGATTCTTAGAAATAAAGGATTGAAAGGGTTTGGAGGTTAAAAATTTTATTAGAATAAGAATAATTAGTGACCAAAGACCGTATTCAATGGAGACTTCTATATGCACCAAGCAGGAGAATATTACATTTAGACAACGTGATGTGGTTTTTAACTTGGATTTAACGATTGTCTCTTGTGGCCGATCGGTGTTTCCTCAGAGATGGTTGGAGAGACTTTCTGTCCTATTTTTCAGATCTCTGTAATCCTCTTTCCTTCTGCTGCCTCTCTCGTTTCTTTACCCCTCACCACTCAGCCTAACCGCTGGAGCACCAAAGCCCCCAGATTTCCCCCTCTAATCCCTCACAACCAGGACGCACCTTATCCTGAGCATAGGATTTGTGCGGACACTAGCAAATAAGTCTATACATTCATATGTGACTGGGCTGCCGTTGGTGTAGTCTAACCACCCCCACCCAAACACTCCTTCTGCATTGAATTGGGATGGCCATACAGCATATTTAATTTGATGCGAGTATTAACAAGTCTGTGAGGGACGGAAGTATGGTCTGATTAAAATTTCAGAGAACAGAAACGGATCTTTAATCTTACAACACAAGTATGTGGCAACGCTGAGAAAGCTATGCTTGGGTAATGAATTAGATGCATTTTCATTTAATGGCTGATAACTGATAAATGGCTCATATTAAAATTCAACACTATTTTCTACATAAATCAAAAGTAAAACACTAAATTCAAAGGTTTTAAATGCCACAAGTGAATTTAGATGTCACAACATTATAATGTAGGCTACAGATGAAAATGGATATTAATTTTGAGATTTGCTAAATATTGCAATGTTATACAGTGCTATTCCTTTTGTGGTGTTTTAATGATTAATGCCAAAGTAAGATGGTGACAAAGCTCATATTAAAATGTAAAAATGAACATTCACACAGTATGCTTGCTGTGGTATTCAGTGTTGCACAGTGTTTGGCCATATATCGACACTGCAAATACAATAAAAACCATTTAATTTAGTTGGACCAAGGATATTACATTTACTGAAAGCATCTTCTCTATACAGCACGAGCTGCAGAGTTGACAGGATAGTGGAGGATTTGGTCATTAACAGATTTTTTTATAGTGTAAATGTGCGGTTAGATACTGCCCGCTCCCTACACCAAAGTAAAAAGTGAAAAGTCTGTAACATTTCTTCACTATGACATCCCTATGGCACAATTCAATTTCCAGTAATGGAACAGATACATTGTGCATCACTAGAATTGCAGGATTTAGAGACGCAACAATGAACGAAATAAACGTGCATTGTGACATGTCTGTGTTCGGATATTTAGTACATGTTTTAGGCAATATAGTTAAATGTACCATGATGTTGATTGTTTTTCTAATGAAAACTTAAACTCTTTACAAAACATTTCCAATAGACAAAAACATGCAATGAAAATTAGATGTGAACAAAGATCCTTCAAAATATTGGATCTCTCACAGGCTTTTATATTTGCATCAAATTAAATATGCTGTGTCAGTCTGTATGATTCTTACTTGATTTTAAAATGATGAAGTCTATCAACTAAAGTCAAGGGAGAACTTGGCTTATTCCACTCTGCTACACATGCTAACCTTCGCTAACCACTTGCTCATTACCTTCTGGTTCGAAATTTCCCTGTGCTCCAAGATACTTTGTGCTTCTTGGCACTCTCCCGCCTCGCTAAACTGCCATGATCCTCTGGCTCCGAGAGAGCCTGTTTCAGAGCCAGCCCTTCTCTTCCATGGTGACGCAGAAGAGGCACAGCTGTCCCTGTGGCGGGACCTCACACAGAATGAGTGATTGCTCTCAGTAATGGGCTATCTGGTGTGAAAGTTACGTTTTGGAGGGTATCAAACATTTTTTTTTGTTAAATTATTATTTTAAAGTAATAGTACTTTTGCTATTCATCGCTCACCAATCACAAGCTCCACCCCCACCTCCCCAGTTCTCTGGCCGAGACATCATAGAACATAGAGCTTAAAGCTTTCCCATCCACCACTCCTGTACCTGTGGGTTGAGGGAAGCTTCGGGTCAGCAAGTTAGCACAACCCCGATTCTTATGTCCCCAATGCTTCCATGTTTCCAGGTGTGACATTTGCAGCAAAAGGCTACTTCGACGCACTGGTGCGGATGGGAGAGCTGGCCAGCGAGAGTCACGGCTCTAAGGATCTTGGTGAGTTATAGACTGTAGCTGCAGTGGCCCCTGTGGTTGGGAGGGCGATTGCAAAAGAGAATAACTTATGGTTTCAGTGTGAATGGCTTTGGATGTATGAGTACTTAGTACAGCATATCTAAGACTGTATCTTTGGACATAACACACATGTACAAATGTACACACTCTGCAGATTCATTAATTTGCTCATAGGTGATTGGTTTGCGCTATGTTCATTCTATACTCTTGTCTCATTTCCTTGTCTCTCTATGAACAACTATCCAACTGTAACAATTAGGATTTAGATTTAGGGAGTCATGATGAGATTTTAAAACCATTCTTGACGAATCTCAACTTTTTACTTTCTTTTGCAGTAAAATATGAAAATCTAGTTACCTGCTCTGCCCTTTCATGACCTTAAACTTTATCATTCGGCTGTGCATGAGAACAAACAATCCATTAATAGTACCTGAAACCATATGAAAAAGTTTGTCATTTTTTTTTTTCGTCTTAGCAAGCCACTTCAGATGGCATCTGAACCATTTTTGCTAGGTAAACGCATATATTTTTTAATATTTCAGTTTAGTTGAAGTTTTTTGTGCACACCACAACACCTTTTATTATCAATAATATTTTGTCTTGCATATGTTTTTTTAATTAATTAAAATGAATTTAAATTGTAAATACACTATGAAGTTTTGTGCATTAATAGGACATCTGTGAATCATTTGTTTTCGCTCTAGCCCTTGTATGAATTATGCCCTGATGAAAAATTGAATATGTGAATCCTTTTTGAGATGACATTCAGAGAACATTTCTGAAGTCACAGCACAAGCATGTTTTTCTTTCCTCAGTAATGTTGCTGTCCATTCATTATTTACAAGTGACTGTGCCTTGTAGCTAGCGGTGACTAACTGTGCAGTAAACACTATAGCAACCAATGGATGCACCAAATATCAGTATACAAATAAGTCTTTTGGCATTTACCTTTCCAGGAAGTGTTCTGTTCTTTTGGTATTTTGCTGAAAAGAACATTTTAGACCTGTAAGTCTGAATTTCATTTGATTTCAATTAGGTTAGACTAAGATTTCTTGATCTCCAAGGGGAAATTTATTGACCAGAGTGTGTTTGAACCTTCAAACATACAATCCTTGTCCAATTGTGTGTCCAGTCATCACTCTGGGTAGAGTTGGAGTCTGATTAGATGGACCTCAGTGGAATGTGAGGCTCTTGATAGGATTGGCTGTTAAATCTATTGCATAATCTATTGCATTCTTCAAGATTATGCTAAAAGCACATCAGTGTCGCAGCAGCAAATTTGAATAGACGTTTTATCTTAGAAGAGGACCGGAGGGAGAGGCTGGTTATTCTTCCATTATTTATCTCAGAATAATTTTTCTGAGCATTCACTTTCTCATTTCACTGCTGGTGTCTGTCTCATTGAATACACGTTCAATGGAGATCACGATACCAGCTCTAATTTGATAACTCAAAGGCTATTATTTGAATGAATTCAGCTTCATCTCATCCTGATATTAGTTACCCGATTTACAACATTCTCAATATCTAAACAGGACAGCCGAGCTGGAGACCTTATGAGATTATATTTTGGGCTGCAGGAGAGATATTTGTCTGCTGCTGTCTCAGCATTGTAAAAAGCAGCAATATCTCTGTATGAAAAAGTTTAATGAAAAAAGTTTTATGAGAATTTTACTTAGCCTTTTCACTAGAGACATTCATCACTAGACAAATTACAGCACGTCTGTGTTTGTTTTATGCCTTAATGTCATATGCATGTGTGTCATTATCATTATGCACATAATATCTTTTAATGTTTAATAGAGCCCATCAATAGAGATTTTATAAAATATAGAATATATAGAAGAGGATATGTCCCAAATAAGTAGTTGTTTGCTAATATTTTGTTAATATTTGCTAATATATTGTTTTTTAAACTGTTTTGCAGACTACATTAGTAAACTCCCTAATGTATTAACTATCTTATGCTTCTAGTTATTCCAGTAATGCTTATGTCATTTGTCTGTGTCTGTTCTTTGCAATAAATGACAGCCAGGCATGAATTTTTTTTTTTTACTTCCTGTACATTACCATGTGACTTTTATTAGGGATGCATGGTATATTGACATGATATTGGCCCAATATCTGCAAAAAGTTCTATTAAAATTCTTATTATTATTTTAGCAGCATATATTATATATTTAATTATTTATTATTTGGCAATCCCAGAAGTTCCTTCTCATTTTTATTAGAAATATTATGTAAGCCAAAACATATTTTAAAAAAATTGCTTCATATATGGTACATTTATCTAATTAAGAGTGCTTTACACTTTTGTTGCATGTGTCTGTTATTTTGTGAGTCTCATTCTTGTCATACATTTCTTGACACTAATAAAACGTGTCATATTACCATTCCTTCACATCCAGAGCATACCAGATGCATGGGATAACCACAAGTCATACCTGTTCCTTTGTCTGGTTGTTGTCTGAGTGAGTACTTTTGATTGATTTCCATGAGCAAGACAAAGAAGTGTGTGTTCCTCGTTGAGTGACAGGTTTTGTTAAGATCAGGTCTGTTCTGTAAGTATATGTTAAATGTCAGACAGTGTTAGTTAGGGGCCATGGGCTTTGAAAGAGCTTGCAAGAGAACATTGGCATGAAGTGGAAACTTTTATCCAATTTGGCCACAGGCAGAATGAGTCTGTGTTATGAGTTCATACTCATGCAGACAAATGCGTGGGTGAGGATGCATGCATTCAAGCACGTGGAACCATAGCATCAGCCATGTGGACCCAATCGATTGCTGCGTGCCTAAATAAATCTCTTAAGTGAGGTCTTAGCCCAGTGTTAATAATTGATGCTGACTTATTTTTGGCTTTAGTATAATTGTATGCAATAAGGAAGGCAGATCTGAAGATAGGCCTTCACTGGCCTTAGATCAGTGATGGCTGTGAAACCTTACAATCAGTCGCACAATCTCAGTCAAGCACTTTTGTCAGTCAAGCACTTTTGTCCACCACAGTCAGCTTCAAGATGTTCCTGTCTTCATGGATTTGTTATCATGTCTGTGAGATGGACTGGAGGGTTTTAAAAGGATGTGCACCACAGCGGCCACATTAATAATGTAAGACTTAAAGCGTAACCGGTAGCACAGTTCACATGCCTGAGGTGTGTGTGCACTTGTTGTCCCCCATTTTATACTATTTCTTATGGATGTCGACTAGTCATCCAACAATCAAGTTGATTAGTGCAGTGCAGTAGATCAGGCCTTATGATTTGTATTTATATGTATATTACATATATTTTCCATTTATTTTGTAATACAAATAAAAAAAATCTGTCTTAAAATCACAACACTCATGGTGGGAGTTAGATGTGATGCAGTGTTGCTTGATTAGGATAAATATTTTTTTAAATCTAAAGTATTATTTAAAGTATTAAATAATAAACATGAAAATAAATACAAAGTATTAAGACACTCTGTGATGTTCAAAATGTTCTCTGGATTGCAAACATGCATCTTACACTGTAAAAAATGCAATCAGAGTCAGGTGAATTTAAAACCAGCCTTTAAAGGAGACTTAACCCAAAAAAGAAAAATCTGTAAGTGTCTTGCCCTTGCATTTTTGGGCATGTGACTAAAAGCACGAATCTCATTGGTTGGCTAGTGTTCATTGCAGTTCGAAGAAAACTGGAACGACTTGAGGGTGATTAAATTATGCCTGAATTTTATTTTTGAGGGAAATATTCCTTTAAGAACGAAAAGTCAACTATAGTCAGTCATGCAACCCACCCACTAGTTGATTTACAAAATCTGGTATCAGTCTAGTAATAAAATTAAATGATTTTAAGTAATCAAAATTGATAAAATTCCTTTACATCATTGCAAGAGCTTCTTTTTCGGGGTAGTGGATAATGGTAAGATTTCATTAAGTGCTGTTATCTTCCTCTTTATCGGATCTTCAACTCTGAATAACTCGCGATCTCTTGCTGTGAAGAGAGATACACAGTGATTCTTCAATGCAGCACTTGTGCGTATCGCATCACCCAACGCCCGCAGTCAGCCCACGCACTGATGCAGGAACGCAGCCGGCCCGAGGAGAGAGAGGGAGCCGTGAGCTAAAAATAGATGAAGCACTTGCCTTAACAGGAGAAGTTCCGCTAGAGAGGGAATGAGAGAGCAAGAGTAATGTCAATGCGGCCCGTGCTGTGGATTTAGAGTCCCAGAATGCCTCCTTCGTGATGTCATGAGTTTCCAAAAACAGCTTCCCCTGTCTGCCTTTTCAATGCTGCACGAGTGTGAGGAATAATAAACAGCTTCCAGTTCCTCCTGCCCAAATAGGGGTATCAGTTGTCATGGATGTGAGATACCAGTAGGTCGTTGTCTTCTTCTCACATTTGTAGTTTTAGCTTTGGGAGTTTTCCATCAAATTACAACTGTTTGTGCTGATAATTAGTCTAAATCCTGGATATTCTCACTCAAGCACAAATGTTTGCAGAAAAGCAACTGTGTTCTCTGACTAAACAAGATTAATTGCGTCTGCAAGCATCTTGCTCCGGCTGTAGTCACAAAATAACTCAGGGGTGTTTGAATAATTAATGCTGGCAAATCTTGGTGCAAACTGAAATGCAACACATCCGGTCTCATTTTTGATAAGCTATTTAAATAAATCCTCTAAAATATGCCTCTCAGATTGGATTTCCTCATTTTTAGCTTCTTTGCTACTGTGGCACACCACAATGAATGTAATTTTTCATCTGTGGAGAATGGTCCGAAGGCTAAATCACTCATTAAGTAAATTTAGAGTGAAGAAAAATTGGACACATCTGCAAAACCATTAGCCTTTTCTGACCTCTGACTGAATAAAGGAATAAAAACACTTTAACACGTTTAAGCGATTTGATTTATGCATATATATTACAGAAAAGTTAAAATTTTAAATGTAGATTTTTTTTCTATACTACTGTTTGTGGCCAGTACGATTTTTAAAAAAATAAGTT